ATGTATTCCTTCTTTCTTGCTTTCTTTTACTTCGTTCCTGTCCTTGGCTCTGCTCAGTCACGATATTCAAAACTCACTTCGCATGATCTCTCTCGTCTCTATTTTATTGCCTAGCAGTTAGCGGTGGTTGGTTTGAACTTTTCTAAGCCATGTGAGTTTCTTCTTTGTGATTCTTTCTTAGTGATTTTTTTAGTGGCTGTTTAATTTACATACAAACTCAAAATTTGAGATTTTGGGTTGGTGAAGTGAATTGATCATTGATGTTAAAAAAAATTCACAGAGGAAGGCGATCAAGAGAAAAAATTGGATCAAGAGAAGGCAATGGATAGTGAAGAAGTGTACGTGAGCAACCATGTTGAGGCCGTATATAATTAGAAGATGAGTAGTTTCCTCCCGTAAATCGTCCTTTCACGGGTCAGATATATAAACCAAATAGGAGACACCCTTCATAATCTCCTCTTCTGCCATTTCAATATACTCTCATAGGCAATGACTAGGTCCGCTTCTCGCGTGAGGTAGAGTTATCCTACAAACATAAACCATCGCGGAGATCGCCTGTGGGGATGGAATGACTTCCTGCGATTTGATGTTCCGTCAATGGCCCTTGACTACCTTGCTAAAAACTCCATTAACGAAGTTCAAAAATCTTACAGTTGGTGACAGGCATCGTCTAATGAAGTTAGCAAACGATCAAGTATTCACTGCAGAGATGGAAATAGTTGCACCTGGATCACCTCTCTTTGGTTTTATCAATGTTACCTGCTTATTGCATCCATTGGCATATGCTTTGCCTGATATGTAATAAAGTTGTCAATGAACGTTATTTTTTTTTAGTTATAAACAATCCGGTCCATTAATAATGATCATTTCATGTGCTATTTCTCGAATTTATTGGAGTGCATTTTTTAAATATTTTCGCCGTTTTGTTAATAATTTACTGTGTTTCTATTTAATGTTAATGTAAAATGGTTTGTACTTTGCATATATGTATTTATATGTATTTGCTTCTCAATTATTCTAATTATTTGATGTGTTTATTTATTAATATTATGATATTAATTAAAATGTTTACGTTGATGTTTGTCAAATCTGTAACTAATTATAATTTTCATATGATAATTTGGAGTCACTCACGCATTCTCCGCAGCGGAGCGCGAGCTTAGTTGCTAGTTATTAAAGTCTTATTTGTATTCTATACTATTCAATATGACAAATTTAACACAAATTATGTGTGTTTTGTGATATCTGTGTCTTAAATTATTTAATTATGACAAATCTGGCACAAAACCATATAGATGTTGACTAGATTTTCTGTTAAATACTAATGGTCAATGCCGGTTAACATTATAGAAAAATAGTTCGTGTCAGATTTGTCATATTGAATAGTTTAAAAAACAAATGACACTTCTTGAATAGTTTGGACTTCCTAGTGGAATTAGCCCTAAATTTTTTTATACTCATAAATTATAATAATTTTTTCTCGTGAAATTTAACCTAGGTTGGAACTTGGACATAGGAATTTTGACGTGAAATTGTCGATGGAGTAAACAAGTAATAAATTCTAAAATGGGCTATAGTCGTATTTCACGAGATTTGTGACAGTAACTATTCAAAATAACCAATTATATTCGAATGATGATGCAAGAAAAGTAAATATGATGGGGGTTGCAGACTTCCAGTGCCCTAATTCGTGCTACTAAACTACTAATGCAGGAAAGAAAACAAACAACGCAAGAATTAAACGAGATGCAAGAAAAGTAAATATGATGTGGGTTGTGGTGCCGCAGTGGCGGATCCAGAAATTTTATATAGGGGTGTACTCTTTCAAAAATTAAATTAAATTAAAATTAAATAATTATTAAATGTGTAAATACCCGACTAGTAAAAATTACAATAAAAGTGCAGACATGTTTCGTATAATGAGAAAATGCTAAAATCCATTCGGCGTCTTCATTGCTCAACAAATCTCTCTGGCATAACTGTACATGGGCGCTAGGCTGGCACGACACGGGCACGCTTCGAGCCCATTTATTTCGTGTCGTGCTTGGCACGGTCCGTCAGTTTTCGTGCCATGCAAGCCCATTTGTTAACTTTGCTAGGCCCGGCCCAGGCCCGGGCACGGTTCGAATTTTGCCGTGCCTATTCGTGCTCATGCCATGCTCGTATTCGTGTTTAATGAAAAGGACGAAAACAAAAGAGAGAATGAAAAAGAAGGTGAAAATTGGACGGGGGAAGATAGTATTAACCGATAATGTTTGAGAAAAGTAACAAATAAGAGGGAAAATAAAATTGGAAGTATAGCGAGTGTGATTTGGCTTTGTTTAATTCTTTGTCCATTTTTACTTGTATTAGTAATTACGTATATATCTTTATGACACTTCTAACAATAACAAATAATTAATTTTCTACTTGTGTTTTGTAATATTTGAACCTATAATTCTTTTTATATTTATTTTCTATCAAATAAATATTATTTTTGTGTCATGTCCGTTCTTATACTCAATAAAGTCTCGAAAATATTAGGCCCGCCACGGCCCACTTATATACTGTGCCGTGCCCGTGCTCGTGCCCGTGAAGTTTAGGCCCGGCACGGCCCATAAATTATTCATGCTCGTGCCGGGCTGGCCCATTTATTTCGTGCCCGTGTCGTGCTCTAACCGTGCTGTGTCGTGCTAGCCCGTGGGCGGCACGGCCCAGTGCCCACGTACAAGCATAACGTATTAGACAAGGATAGCCCGTAATTGGGTTTAATCGTTAGGTTTTGAAAATAATTGGGTGATAAGAATAGCCTTTTACTATCATATTTGGATCTAAAAAACAACAACAAATATTTCTAAAAACAAAAACAACAAATGAGTTGTAGTCTAATTGAGAATATATTTACTTATAGTAGTAGTGTGCCAAGTAAAAATCACATAGACTATACGTCTTAACTATTATTTGTACAAATACGCAAACTAATACATGAGATTGGATAATCTTTTCCCCAAACTTTAAAGGTGTCCCGCTACCACTTAAATATTTGTTTACCCATACACAAACTACTACCGGAGCTTGAATAACCGATTTTTTTCAAATTTTAAGGGGTGTCCCTAAATCTCCATGTATCCGCCACTGCGGTGCCCTAACTTAACAATGAGATGCTTCTATGCATCATCTATTATGATGCCATATTCCTTACACTTAGCCCATTCCCTATCCGTGCATACGCTTCTTGCGATAGGAACTTGATTAGCTAATGCGTGCTTTCGCTTCATGTCATCACCTAATAAATGAAGAACAAGGAAGTTAGGATATCACATGATTAAGTGTGGTTCTCTTTAGCTATAACCCATGGTTTATAGCACCTATGATCCAAGAATCAAGCAATGATACTAGTCGAGGTATAGATGGTTTGGTCATTCTATCTATATCGTATAACATCAATGGGGTATCACTAGAGGATAATATCTTAACAACCTAGGTGATACTAAGCAAAATGCATATAGAGACACATAATATAATAATCAACAACAATGGTGTAAAGCATCTAATAGCAATGGCATCGACTAAATAAGCAATAGATGATACAAGCATAAATGAACTCAACTATCGATGATAAAGATAATAAACACAGTAGGCATCTCATTGAATCACTGAAAGTAATACATAAAACATCATCGAGTCACTTCCCTATACAATTTCAAACTAGCTATGCATAGGGGAATAGGAAGACATCACCAATGATATAGGCATTGATGGTGACAACTCCCTGTCGAGGTCCAGCAGGGCTTCGCCTCCTCTTTATAGATTTCTAACTCGTGCCCCTGGGCCATAATGCTGATAAAATGTGTGTATAAAACTTTAGTCTAGCCTCCTATACTATTGCAGAAGGAGGTTTTTTAGTCCTTTTCCTTATAAAGTCGGCCAAAACCTTTCTTGTACGACTTGAACGCAAATTTCGAGAGGCAAATGCCCTTAGACCTTGAGTGATAGGCAATCAATCCACTTTCTTTTTAGGATTGCTCATTGTTGTTTCATTTAATGCCCCTCTCAACTGCCCTAAATAGACTTATTATACATACAATTCAACATGCCAACTATTAAACAACTTATTAGAAACACAAGACAATCGAGGATGCCTTTGACTTGAGGACGAAGTAGGAACATTCTGAAAGCTTTTGGAGAGCTAGAAAACGAGCGGCTAATCATGACGGTTAGGGCCTACGCCCCTATTCCACTTGGGTTTGGTTTCTGGGCCCACAAGCAAACTCTCCTCCAAATTTGGGCACATTTTGACATATAGTTTTGGTTGGACCTTGAACAAAGTTGGGTTTGCTGCACTACCAGATTTGCAGGGGCGGATACATGGGCCTCTAGGGGTGTCCCGGTACACCCCTAAAATTTGGGGAAACGATTATCCAACCTCCGGTAGTAGTTTCGTATGGGTATACAAAATATAATTGGTAATCCGGGACACCCTAACATTTGAAAAAATGATTATCCTACCCTCGATAATAGTTTGCTTATGATTAACAAAATATAAGTGGTAGTCCGTGTTATTCCAACCTAGGACACTACAATTATCAAACATATTCTAATTATGTTGCTACTCATTTGTTATTCTATTTTAAACATCATGCAACAGTAAAATGCTATTTCTTTATCCCCAACTATTTTCAATACCTAATAATTAAACTACGTACACGCTACCCTTAATTTTGAATTGATTTTATGGTTACACGGCAAGTGTTGAAAGAGTCTTGTCTACTTTGAGCTACATTAAGAACAAGGTTAGAAATCGAATATGTGATAAGTTCGTGAAGTATTGTCTAGTAGGATATGTAGATTTTTTTTGAACAGTGCATACACGGAGTTTATTTATATATTTTTTTTCAAAATATGAATTTTAATTTATTATTTAATAAAAAATTATACAAATTATACAAGTATGATATTTTTAATATACGAATTATTTAATTTATTATATATAATTAAATTTAATTTTTGAAGAGTACACCCATGTGAAAATTTTCTGAATCCGCCACTGCAGATTTGCTTTTTTTTAACCATAAAGTGAGCATTCGATGTCCAAATTCATATATGCTTGAGCCCACATGCTGTAATCTCCTTGTCCTCTCGATCCATTAGGTTTGTTGCTGATCCATATTCATCTTAAGAGCATTATCACCTTAAAAGCACAAAACAACATCAAAAGGCGTCAAATAGTACAAAAACACACTCAAAGTTTACATAAACACATTATTCAAATAATTATGAATTTAATATGAAATATAACCAAAACCACTACAAATACATTTATAGAAGGGGAAACTGTATCAAATATGAGAGTGAAACACTATAGATTGAGTCCAATTAGTCATCACATGTATTTAAATTCTATTGAAGGCAAAAAAAAGTCCACTCTTTGAATGGAAAAAATTGAAAATTAAAATAAATAAAAATGGGATTTTTTCATCTCTCACTTCCTTCATCTTAATTCTTCACGATGGAGGGGAGATATATGACGAAACTTGTTTGCTAATGGGATTTGGATGTTGTATTTGGTCTCTAAATACCAATCATCATGTTTTTGGTTAAAACCATTGTTTGTTAAGGCATGCAAATCCGTGGGGCCCACGGTTTCGGATAATTTTTTTAGCTCCAAATCCATAGACCCCATGTATTTGCAAATACCATATTATATTTCGTTTGGTATTTGGTTATGGAAGACAAATTTTTTAGACCCAAATACCAAATCAACTAAATCCATGATAAAAAAAATCTAACTAAACAAACAATGTTATTTTTCAAATACAAAATGCAATAAATCCATCCTAAAACCAAAGGTTTTCAAAACTCAAAACCTTCATTTTCAAATCCAACAAGCAAACCAGCCCGTAACACAATTCATTGATCTCTATGATCATTTGATTTCTCATATTATTAAAATGATGTATTGATTTCTCCCATATGTAAATTAGCTGTTTAACCCTGTTCTCTTAATTGCTACTTAAACAAACAACATTTTTGTCATTAATTAAATAAAACCATATAGGGATGGCAATGGGTCGGGTTGGGCGCGGATAGTGCGTATCCGTTACCCTACCCAAAGTAGTTCGGGTTTTACCCATACCCATACCCACATAAGAAATGGGTAGAAAATCAAAACCATGCCCATACCCGTTCGGGTTTCGGGTATCCACGGTTATCCATGGGTACTAATTTCTCTTTATAACTCCAACTAATATGTTAACATTCACACGTATTCTCACATTACATAAGAGGAAAAGTACGACCATAATTAACTAGAATGAAGAAAATTAATCAAAACGACACAATTACATGAAAATATTATATTTATATGCTAAATATAAAATATATTAGAAAAAATAATGATTATTTATATACAAAATACATATGCATGTGTATAATCAGGCGGGTTCGGATTGGATAGTGAGAAATCCATGTCCACCCATTACCCGCAATATTCGGGTTCGGGTTTTACCCGTACCCACAAAAATTTATTCGGGTTCGGGTTTTACCCTACCCGATTAGGTCAGATTCGGGTGGATATCCATGGTTACAGATATTTTTGCCATCCCTAAAACCATATGATGCATATAAATAGATAGGTAGATAGAGCATATCATGATAAATCGATCATCAACATGAGCCCACAAATAAGGCAAAGAAACAACGGACCTCTATCAAAAGGGCTCATGCATTATACTTCCAACAATATCCATGGATGACTTCCATTGCCACATGCAGATGCAGCTTAGCTTGGCAGGCCGCAATCTGTGACGAAGAGTGCGATGAGAAGGCAACATTGGCAAGCGTCGTCATTGTGCTGCTTCGCTGGTATAACATAGTAAACAGCTGTTGCATAAGGAATGGATGCACCCCTTTTCTCACTCTGTCTTTGATGCAACAACTGTTTACTACGTTATCTCACCGATCCGATCGAGGCAACTGTTGATTCTCATACTCTATCAATAAACTTTTGGCCTTTCTTCTAGCTTATTCATGTCTGAGAAACTCTTCTTCTTCTTCTTCAACTCGTCCTTTTATAACTTGAGAATCATATCATCACTTGGAGAAGCAAGCACGTAACGTAATTTGATGGACTTGTTTCCCATTTCATTGATCGAAGGACTTGAACGCAATGTCATCATTGATGCAACAATTCATTAATTATGTGGCAATATCAGCTGGTAGAGGGAATGTGTTGCAAAATTGATTGACCACATCCCCTCCTCGCCTCTCAAACCCCAAGCTTCATTTTCCCTTTATTTTGTTTGGAACCAAAATATAAATCAACCACAATGCCGATCTTCATGATTTTGAGACGATGGTTCACGTACGTCCGGGCGCATAGAAGAAGTTCAGCGATCGAGATGTAGCTTGCCAGAGACAAGTCGTGGGACGCAACTGTCGAAGAGAAGAAGAAGTAGTAGTACACCATCAAAGTTTCCTAGCTACAAAACTTATGATTCCCAATTTTTTCCGTTGATTTCTCAACTTCAATAACTCTGTTGTTGCGGTTGGGATCTGTGCATTCTTATAGGACTGTTACGTTTATTCAAATTGATATGGTAATTGATTTGATTCATGAATTATTAATTAATTAAAGTATAATTTTATGGATTTCAAAGCGGTTAATACCACGTTTGGTCACTGGGTTTATCAAAACGGGTCATGTTTAGTCACTAGAAAAAAATTAATATCAATTTTGGTCACTCGAATTATTGAAACTATCCACATTTAGTCACTCTCTGTTAGTATCCGTCCAACTCTGTTAATGAAGTTCATTATGTGCTGACATGGCTAACGGAATCGCTTAGTTAGCACCGTTTAGGCCTAAAAATGGTGAAACCCGACCCACAACGTCACAAAAGCGCCCAATTCATATGCCTAACCCAACACATGAACCCAACCCGACCCATGAACCAAACCTGACCCCACTTAACCAAACAAAAGTGCAAAATAAATCGGTTAAGGGGCCATTTTCAAACCCGATACCTTTCTCCTCCCATCGCGAACCTCTGTACCTTCCTCTACCATTTTCGATCGAAATTATTAGAGAGCAGGGAGAGGTGGAGCCAGCCACGCCACCCCCTTGACCCCCTTGTCCCATATCCTCCTTCGAAGTCGCTCCGTTCTTCTTCTTCTTCTTCTTCTTCTTCTTCTTCTTCTTCATCGCGCGCCAACGTCATCTTCCCCTATCTCAACATACAACGAAACCTAAATCGAGGCAGAGTTTCTACTCTCTTCTTTCCGAATGTAAATGTAAGTGGTTTCTTTGCTTTTTATGGTTAAAAGCTATTCTGGAAAAGAGAAAGGGGAAAATAAAAGCGACGAGGTTGCATGTTTTCTTTTAGGGCTCTCTTTTGGCTTTATTTTATACTAAAATTTGCACGCTCTTGTCATTTCCCAACTCACCATTCCACGAGAGTACCATGGTGGGGCATGTGAGGGCACCAAATGCAGTTCAACCTCATTACTGTAAGTTTCCCTCTGTTTTTGCTCATCTTTATGGCAGACTTCAGTGGTTGTATCATAAAGTTCGACAAGGATAACACTTGGTTGTCGTTTTGGAATAGAAAATGCAGATTTTTGTGGGGATGACCAAGACCAACAACAATTGTTTGACCTTCTTTCTTTTTATACAAGTTGCTTTTATGAGTTTTCACTCTAGTCTTTACGGTAGAGAGTAGTTTTGGGTTGTACCATTTCATAGTTGAACTTTATTAGAGATAAGGACAACATTTGGTTGTCAATTTGGAAGAAAAAATGCATCTTCTCGTGAGGATGACCAAGCACTTTTGTTTATTTTATTATAAGTTGTCTTTATGGACACCAACCACTTACATGCTGCTATTTTCTCTTATTAACATGTGCTTGCAGTGGGGAGTTCACTTTTGAAGTGCGCGTGTCACACGAATTGATGAAGAATCTGAGTGGCAAGCATTTCCTCAACGAGAAGGAAACTATATTTTGGGACTACGCAGATATTGATGAGCTATCAGTGTTGGACTTACCTGCCATATACGAGGCATGTGGTGGGAGGGTTAAGGATCCGATTTTTTTTTTGAAAGTCTCCTTGCAATGCTTCAATGTCAAAAATTACTAATGGCGATCGAAGAAATTCTAAGCATGGAAATTGTAGCTAATGAAGAGCAAAGGGTCATCAAATTATATGCTATCTCCAATAGTGATATTGAAGATTTCATGCAAAATGGTTGGAGAACGTGAGAGAGTGAAGTTCGAGAATAAAGTCAAGCAAGGGTGATGAGTTGAGTGTCAAGTGGATAGTGGCTATGACGAGGAAGAAGACAATGATATGTACATTTCGAAGAAGAATATTTTAGTGATGGCGGCAATGCTCAGTTTGAAGAACATGTAAACCAAGATGTGGAATCTGACATGGGCAGCTTTAAAGGTGGACATGGACACCCTAAAATAGTTGAGCAAGGGTCTTATTCTGTGGACTCCGATGATCGTATGAGTATTGTAAGTTCAGACTCGGATGATGGGTACCAATGTGAGGAGTTTCGGGTTGATCGACACATGGAGACACCTACGTTTGTTGCTTCCCAAAAATTCAACAGCTTTGCAGTTCTGAAAGAAGCAATAAAGCAACATGCTTTCATAGAGAAGAGGCAAATTAAATTCAAAAAGCATGACAAGATCCGTCCGCAAGCAGTGTGTGAATCATCGTACAATTGTTACATATGGGCTTCGAAGATGAGTCTAGAAGATTCTGTCCAGATTAAGAAATGCAAGGTGGTGCAGACACCTGATTGTAGAAAGACCTTCAAATTCAAGTATGCAACGAAAAAGTTTTTAGGGGCCAAACTAGTTAGGAAGATGGCAGCTAATAGGACAATGAGTAAGGCCTTGGTAAATACATAGTCAAAGAAGATTACAAAGAAGATGTGAGGGACAAGAAGGATTACAGAATAAAGAAGGCATCCTTCTAGTAGGTTCGTGACAGCTTGAAGGAGCAACACATGTGCTTGTATCATTACTGAAAAGAATTGAGAAGGAGAAACCCGAACTCTACGGTTATCATTGAGCAGAGAGATAAGTGTTTTAACCAGATATACACGTGTTTCAAGGAATCCAAGCAAGAGTTCAAGGTTGGATGTAGACAAGTATTGTGCATCGATGGTTGCTTCTTGAAGCATAATTTGGAGGGCAACTACTTTCAGCAGTGAGTGTGGATGCTAATGACCAGTATTATCCAGTTTCTTTTGCTCATGTTGGAATGGAGAACAAATGAACATTGGGAGTTGTTTCTTGAGCTGGTTGGTGGCGATCTGAACATAGAGGACAATCCTAGATGGTTATTCATGCCAGACAAACATAATGTATGTCACATTCAGTTTCCTTTTTTTGCAATTGGTCAAGTGATAAAGGCTGACATTGTGTGTGCTTGATGTGTTCAGGGTCTCATGCCAACCCTTCACCAACTATTCCCCAACTGTGAGAAGCGCCATTGTGCAAGATACTTGTGGACAAATATCAAGGGGCTCGTGGAGGTTCCCAAATGCTCAATGACCTGTTTTGAGCAGCAGTTAGAGCGGTTAGAGTGCATGAGTTTCGACATGTAATGCAATCATTGGCTGAGTATAGCAACCCTCCTATGATTGATTGGTCGAAAAACCCTTCTTCCATTGGACCAGGTCACATTTTCTTACTCTCACCAATTTCGACATACATACCAGCAATATTGTTGAGAATTGGAATAATGTGATATTAGAGGAGAGAGATTTGAGTCCAATCAACATGTGGGAGGGGATTAGGAGGAATTTTATGGTTTTATATGCCCATAGACATCAGAATGTGGGCAAGTGGGCTGGTCCTTATTCTCAAAATATTCAAACGAAGATGATAAAATTGACTGAAGAGCTGTAAAGTGGGTTGTCGTGTCTAACGGGAATGGTCAGTTTGAAGTGATGTAGCATGACAAGCAAGTTGTTGTGAATATGAAAGAGAAGACTTGCACTTGCAGAAAAATGAGAATTGACTGGTACTCCTTATCAACATACTATTCAAGCCATTGGTACATCAAACCATAAGTTGCAAGATTATGTGCCTGGTTGCTACACCGAGGAAACAACTGCAGCTATTTATAGTCACTCCATTTCGCCTACTGTTGGTAGGGATCATTGGCCAATTTCTGTGTGGGGAGATGTTGGTGTTCCTCCTCCTCAAGAATCGAAAAAGAGAGGGAGGCTAAAGATACAAAGAAGAAAGGGGTTTGAGGAGGCTGAAACAGCCAAGAAGAGATAAAAGAAATATGAAAGGGACAAGTTATGCAAAGAACCAAGCCGAGTTTAAGGCTATAGGAAGCGCCTCCTTAAGAGCTTCAGCAACCAGCCGACGAATAAGAGCAGAATTGAGTTCTTGACCCATGGGCGGAGAAGAGACATAATTACTATTAGGAGCAACAGCAAAGCTTGACTTCGATGTCCTAGAATGCCAGCAGAATGAGGGGGCGGGACTTTTTTTGCAAGCATCTTACAATCCAAGATAATGTGACCTAATTACTTTCTCGGTAGAAATGGCATGTAAGAGTTCCCGTATTACCTTGGGTAAAATGGGGTTTGGTGGAACGATGCAAACCCGGACGACTGACTACGAAAGCACTCTCAATGCGATGATGATCGAGCTGAGCCTGACTCTTCAGCTGAGTCACCTCACGAACAAGTTCTGCAAAGGCTTCATCCATGGAGGTCACGTTGCCATGAATAAGAGAGGCACGCACCAGCTCAAACTCTTTACAAAGCTTCATAAGAAACTGAAGGAGGCAGGCATGTGACTGATCCTTCAAAACCTCCGCTGAAGCCGCACCAACACCAAGATTAGCATTCAGTAAATCGTACTCAGTCCACATAGACATTAACTCTTGAACATACCTACGGACATCATGATCACCCTGTTCAAAACGTGAGAGATTGTATTCAAGTTGGAATTTTCGCGAAGTGTTGGCCTGAGTGTTAGTGGGTGTGAGACCACATCTCATGAGCCAAGGAGAAACACGGAAACCCAGGGCGGTGGCGGTGTTGACATAAGCGAGCAGCCACGTGATGATCGTGGCGTTGCTTGCTGCCCAGTCTTCTTTCTCCTTGTTAGAAGCAGTATTAGCAGGTTTGGATAACCGGCCAGTCAAGATCAGAAGTAAACGCCGACCCTCAACAAAGTTGTGGAAGTTGAACTCCCACAACGCGAAACTTGGAAATAATCCCACTGTACACATGTTCTTAAAAAAATTTCCCAAAATACATAAGTTATAATTTTTTTCCCCAAAGTACACATGTTTGGCATTCACAGTTTTTGACAAACGCAGTGAAGACTATCACCGCGTTTGACAAAGACGGTGAATATTTCACCATTAAAAAAAAACAGTGATGTATTCACCGTTCTTCTCTAAAACGGTGAACAACGAGCGAGTCAATCACAGTTTTAGAGGCAAACGGTGAATAGATCATCGTTTTAATGAAACGCGGTGTATATTAAACCGTTTCTTTAGGCCACGATGAAGCGACGCGGATCGCTGACGTGGACAAACGCGGTGTATTCACCGCGTTAGACAAACACGGTGAATACCCCGTGTTTGTTTGCGTCCGCGTCGCTTTTCCTTTCACAGTGACCGTCAGATGCGGTGAGGCGCGGATCGTGGTTTTCTTTCCAGATCCGACGCCTCACAGCAAGCCACGTCGCCCCTTTCACCGTCTTCGATAAAGGTGGTGTATTCACCGTCTTCGTCGAACACGGTGAAGCATCCCCAATTAAATTCTTGCAGAACCCTTCCCCCCCTTCCCCCAACTATAAATAGACCCTTCCCCCCACTTACAAATCACACCACAACAATTACAATTCTTTCTCCCTCAATTTATCTGCTCTAGTCACGTTCTAAGTATGCTCTGTGGTTGTGGCTAAGTCCGATCTTCCACATCAGAAAGAATTAATAGAGTTTGACCCTAAAGCCCCTATCCCGCTAAGCTCCCATCCCTTACAAACCCAAACCCGTCAAACCTATGTCCGGCTTCTGCAAAAAAATGGACGAAGAGGCTCTTCGTGTAGGTTTTTGGTTTTTTTTTAGTGTTTTTTTAATGGAAACAATTTGACTTTGTGATTTTTTTATCAAAACAATCTCTGATTTCATTACTTTTTTTATAGATGGGTGCCGAGATATACGATCCTCGATTGTATATCCATTATGGGCCAAGAGATATGAGACTCTTAACCGATCAAGAAGCTCATCGCTCCCGTGCTATTTGGGATAACAATCCGGTAATTTGATGATTTATTTGCTTTATTTTATTATTTTCTAAGATTTTATTTGGCTTTATTTAAACTAACAAATTGATGTTTTTCCTATTTTTTTGAAGGAATCACTTATTCCCGTCGATCATAAAGGGACCACAAACTTGCCCGCTTGGCATCCACGGTTGGCGTCCTATATAGAGACATCTGCGACAAGTCGTTGAGCGAGCTCGCCAAGAAGCAGAAGGAGGAGGTGGAAGAAGGGGTCGAGGACGTTGTGGAGGACGAGCGGAGGGCGAGATGGGGGCCAAAATGAGGGGCAACCAAATGAAGACAACCAGTGAACTATCCGTGCTTTCTTTGATTATTCTAGTGTTTTGTCATTGTAGTGAACAATCCACGTTTATTTGAATTTTTCGGTCTTCTGATTTGAGTTTGCATTGTCGTTGAACTATCCATGTTATGTTAGTCAACTTTCTAATTGGCCACATTCCAAATTTATTCCAAATTCATGACAAGGCAAAACATGGGTACAATTAAAACAAGCTTACAAACGAAAATGCTAATTAAGATAGATCACTTTTTCAAGGTTGGTCCTAATTAATATCCGCACCATGCCCGATAGGTTGTCCTGGGCAACGCCTCTTGTCATGGCCAGGTTGTCTGCACTTGGAGCATCGCTTCGCCCCCCGCCTCGTGCGCTCCACTTGATCCATCTCATTGTGAATCATTTCAATCCTAGGACGACCCTTGGTGCGTTTTAGGTGCAACGGTGGGATAATCAACTTCCCAGCGTATATAGGCCGATACGCTTCATCTAGCATGGGACTCAAAGCTGCATCATATGAGTTCCGTATCGCTTGTTCAGTGTAGTAAGGACTCACCAGAGTGTTTCTGTTCATGGTTAATGACTTAGCTACTGCCATTGCATGTGAACATGGTATCCTGTCGTTTTGATATTTTTGACATGTACACTCCCCTGATTCATAGTGCAGAGTAACCGTCTGACGATTGTGGCCACGTCTACCTCCACCCCATACACCTGTTTCCACTGCAAATATCCATTCACTGCGATCGAAAAGAAAAACTTTATGCTTAAGCTGTTATTCCCTTCCGCTATTGCAAATGCAAGCGGGAAAATCCGCCTGTTTCCATCAATGCCACTGGCAATGAGAAGAGTTCCTATGTACTTCCCAGTAAGGAAGGTTCCATCAACCTAATTAAATATTAGGAAGTAATTAGTATGAAATTTACTTGGTCTGCAAGAATAGAAACATTTCAAATAGTAAACATGCATTAAAATACCCGAATAACCGGTATGCAGAACGCAAACCGTCAATGCATGGTTTGAAAGCCCAAAAAAGACGGTGAAACATCAACTTCTCCTGTACTCGAACTTGATCCTCAGTGTATACACTGTTGTATACTGGCACGAAAACAGTCCCAAGGTTGGACTCCTCCATTGCGGCCATAAGTCTAGGGAGTAAAGCATACGAATCCTCCCAATCACCATACACCTCAGCCATGGCTTTCTGCTTTCCATGCCATGCTTTTTGTACCTTATCGTGTAAGAATGTCGATCCTTCACCTCGGCCAAGATAGCTTTGACCTTGATATCTGGTTGTGCTTTGATAAGGTGTTTAATAGTTCTCACAATTTTCTTTTGCTTTAAGTTGCCTGTGATCCTGGGAACGTATGGACGAGGAGCAAGTGTGGTTGGTCTCAGCTTTTCGAATCACCCAGGTACCCTTCCTCTTCATATTTGCAGCCCGCAGTTGCCACGTACAACCCTCTGCATCATTCTTGCATATGACATGTAATTGTTTACTGTCAGAATATTTTACCTTCCACTCGAAATTGCGCCTCAAGGCCTCTTCGGTAAAGGCATCCTGCACAGCGTCCTTCGATGAGAACTCCATACCCACCTCCAAATTGCCCGTCGGATTATACACTGGCATAGGGACAAAGTCGGGGGCATCATTCTGACTATGTAAAAATTGAGTTGGAACCTATGTGTAGTATGGCGTTGATGCCTCGCGAAATACCGCCTCGTTGTCGTTATCATCAGTATCTTCCTCCTCGCTCACTGATCTCAAATCTTCCTCAGTATCATCGTCGCTCGAGTCGAATGGATAGCTCGGCCCAGAAGGATCAACATGACCACCATCACCAACATCGTCTTCTCGCTCATGTGAAGTACGCCCTGCTCGAATGGTATTCTCGATTTCAGCCCACTCAGACCCCCAAGCAGGACATTGAACGCCATCGGCAGGGTGATCATGTTGCGAGTATTATTCCGATGGCACCCATCCTGCACTACTACCTCCACCGTAGTTGATTGAACTACCACCCTCTCCGTAACCTCCTGTATAACCACCTCCTTCGTATTTGCTCGAACTACCACCCCATCCGTACCCTCTTGCAAAACCATCATCATAAGAATACTGGTGAGAATGAGTTTCACCGACCGCCTCGGTCTCAACATACACCTCTGCTTGCCGCATCCCGTTATCGCTTAGGAACTGTAACATCATCATAACCGCGTCATCATCGTTTATGACAACTTCTTGGTACACAAGCTCGCCAGTACTCATACATGGATACCGGTAACTAATTTTACCAAGTCTCGTCTGTCCGCTCGTACAAACCCTGTCTGCACAAATATCACAGAGTTCTTGAAAATTGAATCGCGACTCACTTTTCAGTTTAGTGGATACACTGTCCTCATAATCAATCCCTATGTCAGAGTTTGTAACCCTTCCATTCCACCGAATAATAAGCTGAAACTTCTTGTATTTACCCATATCTACAATTGACAATAAGTAACTATTAGCATAATTCCAGTAATTCATAACATCGGCCATATTTGCTACGATAAGTAATTCATAACATAACAATATAACTACTAAAAACAACCATTAGGAATTAATACAAAAATTAAACCATACCGTAAATTCCTGTTCTGTGTATGTTGCTCGGTTTTGGTTGCTGAAATTTGAAGAGGGGGGAGTGGTTATGTTTTTACAACTGCTGGTGGTGTGGTATTTATAGAAAAATCGGCTAATATTCACCGCCTTTGTCAAACACGGTGAACATCATCACCGCGTTTGTCTCAAACGGTGAACATTAGGTAGTTGTGACCTAATTTTCACCAAGCAGGGTTGGGAAACGTGGGAAATAATAACCGCCTTAGCCTAAGTCGGTGAAGATGGTCCCCGCTTTGCCCTAAGACGGTGACGTTTTCACCGCTTTTAACTTAAACGGTGATGTCTTCACCGTTTTCGTTTAACGCGGTGAAGACTTCACCGCTTTATACAAAGACGGTGAACACGTCATCGTTTTATTTTAAAACGGTGAAAGCCAAACATGTGTAGTTTTGGAATTTTTTTTATAACTTATCTATTTTGGGAATTTTTTTAAGAACTAGTGTACTTTGGGATTTTTTTCGCGAAACTTTCACCATCAAACTTGATTGCAGCTGAATCAAGTTTCCTAGAATCCATTGCCGCGACGCAATGAGGAACAACAAGACACAATTAAATGAGGCGAACCTATTAAAGAACCAAGAGACTGGAAGAAGAAAATGGTGAAAGAAACCCTAATAATCACCAAATCCAGCCGACCGAAGAAGAAGATCCAGAACCAATCAAATTAGCTGCCGTAAAAGACCTAGCCTGATTAAATACGACCAAATCAAGGTCTCAGATCATAGGGTCTGATACCATATCAAAATATAAGTTGAATCGAACGAACACAAGAGTTTTTTTAACGTGATATCGTCAATATGACATTAGTCCACGAAAGGATCTCCCTCTCAGATATTTTGCTTCTTATTTTCGTTAATCAACTCATTCGGTTTACAACGATATTTATATGGCTTACTATAACAAGCAATAACTACAATTACATTATGGTACCTATATTTTAACACCAACATCCACCTCGTCTTCGTCGTCGTCGTCATGATAATCACCGCCACGGAAACGACCCCAGGAAAACTTAATGTCAAAGCTCGTCTTCTTCTCCGTCCTCTCGTAATGAACCTCAGCCTTCATCCCCTGCCCGTCGGCAGAATTACCACCACCGGCCCGACTCTCCGACGGCTGCATGAAGCGCTTGATGGTGTTGTACAGCTCTTGGAACGCTTTTCCCAGAAGGGCTCTGCTCACGGAATCCATTATGCGGGTTTTTGTGTAAGATGGGTTGAATGGCCATTCAATGGAAGCCTTTCTCCAAGCATATATAGAGTTTTTCCCCCTTTCTTTTGTTTCTGTTCCTTTTACCTCTTCGTTGTGTTGACCCTCGTTTTCAGTCTACTACACCACTTTCAGGATTGAGTCTCTGCTGCCTGCTGTGTTCATAGAAATTGAGAAGCATTCCCCCCCCCCCCCCCCCCCCCCCCCCCCCAATAGTTTCTGTTGAAAAAGCAGAGTGGAGACCCATAATCATTAATATCGGTTTGGGTCGTGCCTTTGGGTCAACCTTAAACGTTCCTATCCAAGTGTTAAATAATGTTTATCTCTTGCTAGTTGCAAGGTTTGGGTCCAGTGAGTCTGACCCCTTGAGGATGAAGAAAGTGTCAAAAAGTGAAAAAACACAGAGCTAACCGCAGCGAAGTAAAGCTAGTAAACCTACATGCAACATCTATTGTTCTCCTCAAAGTGCAAAACAAGCTCATGATCTTAGGATAAATTCCCTAAATACAGATAAAAGTAAAACAAATTCTTAAACTACCACACTTATAAAAAAATTTCCCAAAATACCTAAGTTTGGAGTGGTTCGAGTTTGAGGAACTCGAACTACTAACCGGTTCGAGTGTAGGAGACTTGATCTAGTCGTTGATCGATAATATAAGCCTCGAACCATGTGGGGCTGAAGTGGTTCGAGTTCAGTGAACTCGAACCACTCCTTTGAAATTTCCAACAACCTTAACTTTGTGCTCGGTTATCCGATCGTAGTCAACTTTTTTTTTTCATTTTGCATAACTTTTCTAGGACTACAACTTTTATAATAGAAATATTTTCAGAATATATGTGAAAATGTGAAAATTAAAGTTAAAGTTACTACCAAAACCCCTTATATTAAAAACTATTCCAATTATGAAAATTTATTCCTAGTAAATGTTGTAGTAATAAAAAAATTATGCAAAATAAAAAGAACTTTGTGACGTTCGGATTGTGGAGCACAAAGTTATGATCCTCCAAAGTTTGACAAATTCGAAAATTTGCTCTTTTATGGGTAGTAAATGACGTTTTCTAGGAAGATAGCCATCCAAAAATATCTCGGTTGGAAAAATATTGCTCTTTTAACAGAAATTCCCTATATATAAAAAAATTTCTCGTGCCTTCGCCCCGAGAAAATGTCATTTGTTACCCCTAAACGAGCAATTTTCCGATTTTGTCAAACTTTAGAGGATCATAACTTTGTGCTCCGCAATCCGAACGTCGCAAAATTGTTTTCTATTTTGCATAATTTTTTGAGTACTACAACATTTACTAGGAATAAATTTTCAAAATAGGAATAATTTTTAATACAAGGGGTTTTGGGAGTAACTTTAACATTAATTTTCACATTTTCACATATATTCTGAAAATATTTCTATCATAAAAGTTGTAGTCCTCAAAAAGTTATGCGAAATGAAAAAAAAGTTTGCTACGATCGTATAACCGAGCACAAAGTTAAGGTTGTTGAAAATTTCAAAGGAGTGGTTCGAGTTCACTGAACTCGAACCACTTCAGCGCTACATGGTTCGAGACTTATATAATCGATCTACGACTAGATCGAGTCTCCTACACTCGAACCGGTTAGTAGTTCGAGTTCCTCAAACTCGAACCACTCCAAACTTAGGTATTTTGAGAATTTTTTTTTATAAGTGTGGTAGTTTATAAATTTGTTTTAGTTTTGTGTATTTAGAGAATTATCCCATGATCTCACGACTGACTTTAACAAACAAAGTGAAAGTCGTTATAACTCTACCAAGTATCATACGATTCATTTGCAAATGCATATGAGATCTCTCATATAAATTCTAGCAATCAAATTCATTTTTACTTCATTCGATTTGGTCTCAACTATATCAATGCATGAAATTTCCTTGCAATTGCTACAGGTGAGCCTAGTAAGAAATTTTAGTACATTTATAAAAGCATAAACTTTCAAAGATGAAAATGACATCTACAAACGAAATTGTATTATGCAATTGCATAGAGGTGCCATGTCAAAAGACTATTCTGCTTGAAATCTTCAATGCCAATGCCTTAATTAGAAGACTTACTAAAACCAAGGAACTTAATCAACTCAATTGTCATAAAATAAAAGACGAATACCATTAAGACACCCAAACTTTTATGAAATTGTCATTTGTGTCCCATGTTCGTGTATACTAAATCTTACAAAACAAGCAACATGTAAGATCACGAAAAATCATGCAAAGTCACATATGACCGTCCTAGTTGACATAATTCAATGTCTCTCCTTAAGGAATCTTATTCCCCTCTAGTACCCAAGGTTTTGGAATGATTCCTCCTAGGATAGAAAGGACGTACCTTTTCCGGCATAGCGATACCTCAAACCCCAAAAACCATCGAACGCAACGAACCGGCAAGAACCACACTTGACTCGATTTTCTCTTTGAAAAGAATGCAGAAAACTTGTTTTGGATTTTAAAAGAGTTTTGGTGTCGGGAAAATGTATGTAAATAACCAGAGGGGTTAGGTGCTATTTATAGAGAATGAAGGGGTGCGTACGAAGGGAGACGACTCTTCATATGGGTGGTTACACCCCAACCAACACATTGATTCATTTTAAAATAATGAACCATTGCATCGGTTCGAACCATGGTAGTTGGACCGATTTGGTTATTCCAACCGCCACATCAGTTTGGTTCAATTTGGTTCAACTCGGTTTGGTCTCGGTTGGTTACACAAACCAATATTACCGATTACCAACATATTACATCAAATCGACTGAATTCGCGGCCACGCCTTCCCACAGCTTACCAACATGGTACTTCAAGAGATTCTCTTGAATCTTTCCCCTTTCATGTCCATTCACACCACTAAAAATCCCAACAATCCCCCACACGAATGGAGAATGTTGTATTGTAAAAACTATGCAAAAAACTCGTGTGATTCTCGACTAAGAATTAGTTGCATCAGGATAGGTAGGTTTCCCTTTGAACGTTCTTTAGTGAACATATATCGAGTATACTCACCAATCGATAGATGTAATATCTTTGAACCTTCGGTTTTGCTTGTATACTAAGACAACATATGTCACACAACTAACTCTTATCCGTTCACTGGTTCTCATTGTTGTGTTTGTTTTAGCCATGAACACCGTCTAGTCTCATGAGTGCTTAGAGAATTGGCCTTCTTTTATTCTCTTTGAAGCGGGTCCACTTCACACTCACATAGGTGATTTCTAAACGTGTATTCCGAAGATACACTATTTGATCACACCACGTGTCAAACATAGAAACCATTAAAAAACTTTCATATTTAGGTTTACCCTTATTTTGGACATTGTCTCATCATGAGAACAGATTTTGAATAAGTTGACAATGTCGGACCATCATTCACAACTTTTTTTGCTCCTTGAGCCTAGAGGTTGGGTCTGCCAATCCTACTTAGGTAGAGTTACTGCCATGATGATTTGTCCTAGGCCACGAGTCCATTCCCTTCGATGCTTCAATTAATTTCTAGATGGGCCCATGTTTGTTATCACTTGATCTAAACTGATCAACTCCAATAATTTTGCTAGAAATTAATCAATCAATAATGTTATGTTTCTACGACGAGATTTTCACATATAACACTTCTAGCCCTTGCAATAACCATTTTGTGCACATGTGCGTTTTATTAACGCCAGTCTTTGATGGCCATACTATCGAACTTCACCGGTTTTGGAGTGAGTATATATATAGTTTAACTTGGACATTTCCCAAGATACTGCTCCCCATCAGCAATAAATGTATATCCATTAATATATTGCCTTTTGGTTCATCCGGTGAGTTCCCTTTGGGTACAATACACCAAAGACTCGTCTCTTCGATTCACTACACATAATGTGTGCTTAACTTGAATTGTTGCCTTGCAATAATTATAACATATGTTAACGGTGTTGATGTCTCTCTACATCATTAACCTTAGAGTACTTGAGCTTCACAAGTATCTTTTCAAATGTAGTGACATTTATGACTTAGCTTAGGGTTTACGTAAAACTCCTAAGCAGTCACATCACTTAACTTTGAAATCACCCAAGCGACATTCCACATAACTTCTCCACAATTTATCCCTCCACATTTCAACTATTTCACCACAGTTGTTGAAGCCAAAGTTTCCGGTATGGGGAATGTTGTCAGTATACCTTCATGTATATGATCAAAATCATTTTCTCTTTGGAAGAGTGTACTAACATATCTAAGAAATTTTAACATATGCTAGATTTTACTCATAAGCTAATCCTTGGACTTGGTTAACTTCCCAAGGTTTATGGACTTGCGCTTTCTCACTGGACACCGTCATACTTTCAAGTATGACTTGTTTTACTTTCCCACTTTTGTCTTATGGATAGGTTTGCGTCCCATGTAGGGTCTTGAGATAGTAACCGTAACAACGACTAGCTCTTCTCCCCCACAATTCTACCTTTTGTCAAACATCATGGAATAATCCCATTTATTTTCCATTGTTTACTTATTGAACTTGACAACCACTCTATGTATCTAAGTGTTTACCAATGGTATGATCTAATTCGATTAGCATCCACAAACAATTCAGATCTTATCATAAATAGCATCGAATTAATTACCAATGGTATCAATCAAGAACACTTGAGGTGCCACAAGTAAATTAGATGCATTCCAATACTGGAAATTCCATCTAATTACTTACCAATGACATTAGCCAAAGAAGCTTGACATACCACAAGTAATTCCGATGAATTTTCTAAGTCGATGGTCTAATTACTTGCCAATGGTATATACTTCATAAATATTCCCGAAGTAATTAAGACCTTAAGTTCAATAAGATAATCTCAATTGACCTCTCATGCCAAATTGTTTGCCTAGTGTACATAAACCACAAACAATTCTGACGATGATTATTTTGATTATCACCATTCTTTGGCAAGCTTGTACAGTCCTTATAAGGATCAATCTTAGCTTCATTTCTTTGCCCTT